GGCGATGCAAAGCACACAAGTTCTCTGCCTTGCCGTCTTGGCCCAAGGCTATGAAACGTCAAGCGACAGCCTGACAAGACGATAATATCTTTGACTACTCGGCATCGTATTCCGAAGCTTGCGAGATGATTTCCTTATTACATAGCTCATCTCCGTACATGGCGGCACAGCTATAAGGCTAGGGCCAGTTAGGTTCTGTTTCAGATTCCACTTTACCCCAGCGACCAGCCTCTGGAGCCGAGCCACAAGGCCACGTACTACGACAGCGCAACACCACGCCAGAACACAGGTACACTACGCGTATTACGTACCCTCACCGGCGTGCCCTGAAGGACGTACTGCATAGTAAGCGGGGCGGAAACGAGAAGGGTAATGGAAAGACAAGACAGGGCCAAGCACCAACTGCGCGGGGCCAGGCATGGAACTCATTCGGTTATTACACAGCCGAAGATGGGGCTGAGATGCCTGAAGCGAGCATGTGAAGGAGTGGTTGGAGTACGATAAGGCCGAGAAGAGTTACATGACTCCAAGAAGTCCAAAAAGTCTTGAAGATGAGCACATATTTTACTGGCAAGACTGATATCAATGTTGGAAGGATCGTAACAAGTAAATGACGAAAGGATGAAAGGAAAAAGTAATAATGTTGCATAGTACATCAGCAACAGCAGTCTGGACCGTCATCATGGACATGCGATCCAAACCTAAAAAGCCGCTGATCTGATAAGTGGGGGTCATACATCATGAGGATCGATGAAGCGTCCAAGGGAGAGCTGATCGGTCAGTGATCCCTCGGATATGAAGTCCAAACTGGTGGTCGCCGCCGTCACATCGGCCAAAAATGTGAGGAACCGGCACTGTTAACCGAACCATTACATACCGCATTTGCACAAACTGAGTGACATAAAAAGTCGAGCGGTCTGTACCTGTTCAGGTGGACCGTCTGGCACAGCCACGGCAGTGTACTGAGCCATGTAGACGAGTTAATACCTGTAGAAGCTTAGTGCAGCAGAAGAACAATATAGTCGAGGGACAACGTGAAGTCATCACGAAGCACTAGAACAGCGGGCAAGTGGTTGAGACGGCGACGCAAGTACCGACGCATTGTATTCCGGAAAACATACTGTGTTGCACCAGGATTCTCCATGAGAATTTCTAGGCGGAGGAGCGATAGTGTTCTTCGGCCGAGGCTAGTGTGAGAAAGATTTCACACTGCTCCTTGCTCGCGATCGTCGAACTAGCGGGTGCGAGTTTTTTTCTTTTTTCTTTTCTTTTTTTTTAAAATTTTTTTTTTTTTTTTTTTTTTTTTTTTTTTTTTTGCAATCAGGTTGTTGACAGACCAAGGAAAATAGGCGAAGCTGTGCTGTCACGAACTTACCTCGGTTCAATCCCGTTTTATTTCCTGGCCATGAAACAATGGAGGGGTTTCCTCTAAGATGTCGCAGTAGTTTAGACATGGTCCCTGAAGCTAGGGCATTTATCGAGCAATATCATTCGACACGCCAAAGACTCGGTGAGATGCAAGCCCAGGAGCCGATGGATGAAATCTTTTGATGGCGCAGGACCAACAGGACCACAAAATGATTGGTGAATGAGACACTAAAATACATAGGTACTGTTGCGAAAAGAAGGGTTGGGGACGGGGTCCCATCCCAGGTCCCTGAGCCATATTATTCATTTGGACAAGTTTTTATGCTCTCTTATCCCTCATCCCTCATTGTGTACCCGGGTAGGAGTCATGCCGAGAATATTGTTCTTTTAACATCTTGTCTGGAATGCTGCTGACTGCCTGCCTGTCTGCCACAATACGCTACACAAATTCGTCAACGGATTTTAGGTTCGCTGCAGTGATGACCGGTGTTATTTCCGATGCCCGTGCGGCAGTTCATCCCGCAATCGCAACTGAACCTAAAAACTCCACACACCCAAACCCCAACATGGAGGCCCGCTCCCCCCAAGCAATCGCCCGCTGGCCGGCCCGTCACCGTCCATCCACCGACCGCACGCGTGGCAGAGGCCCCATAGTTTTCTTCCCGTCATGCCTGCTTAGGTTCCTTTGATATGTCAGCAATAAAAATCTTGAGTGGTTGGCATTTGTCATGCCATTTTCTGGGTGCACCACCCGAATTTGAGCGAAAAAAAACAGAGTTTTTCTTCCTTTTTTCTTCCCCGCTGGTGTCCCGTCACATTTGTCATGGGATTCCGTCATTCTTCCCATTATGTTGAATTCGCTGGGCGTCCGTCGGCTGTTAGGTTGGAACTGCCCCTGGCAGCCCAATCGCAGGGCACGGACGGGCGGGCAGACGACCCAACCCGGGAATTCGGCCAGGAGGCGCTAACGCGCACTACCACTTACACGGGACGGGACAGCGGACAGTGCTCAAACTCCGTTTCCCGAGAACCAACGTTGGGTTGCATGATGTGCGTTCCTAGGTTAGTTTTTGGATGGACAACAACGACGACGACGACAAGTGGACGGCTGGAGTAACGAGACTTTTTATGAAATGTTGAAGATGAATGGGCGTTCCCACATGTCTTGATTTTTTCTTTCTTTCACAGCCCACTTGAATCTATTCGCATTCAGCAGTCCGGGAACTGAACCTTCCCATCCCCCTCAAGACCATACATAGTATACCTAGGACCCACTCATCAAGCACGCCAGGCGGCCAGACCCTTCTTCCCAAGTGAAGTGGAATCCCTTTTTCTGACAAAACCCCCCCAAGCCACGTCAAGCAGTATCACCATGGGCCGTCCCTGAAAATCCAAAAACACCACTGCACGATCCTCCCTGACTCAGCTTGCTCACAAGATCTATCTCGCTGTCTGTCTCGGTCCTCACAGCCAGCCACACGTGTCGTGTACAACTTTTTGCACTGTTTTCTACCTACACCTCCGCAGGGGGAAAAGTTGTTAGCTCGGTACAGCCAAGCCGCCAGCCAAGCCACTAAAGCACTACAATAAATAAGGGTATTAATACTGGGAAAAGTGGCATTTATTGTCCATCATCTTATCTATCATTTTATCTAATAATCAATAGAATCTCCATTTGCCTCAAATGGCGATGCCTCGAGGAATGGTAGTGACCGTTGCCATGGTGAAAAAAAGGGTGATGAGATGAAATGCTTCCTTTGGCTTCCAAAGTCCTTTTTAGGTACTTTTCTATAGAAACTACCAGAAAGGTTACATCGGGATACTCCGACCACCAAGTCTGCCACCCCCCCGCTGATCTGCAAATTCACTAAGCTAACAACTTTTCCCCCTGCGGAGGTGTACACCTCTGTCGGCATATAATTCGTTAGCGTGGTACCGCCACTCTACAATATTCAGGGCATTGGAGGTGAGCAAAGTGGGCATCTTTTGTAAGGAGAATCAAGCTATTGCCACTACCTCAATTCACCGCGCTAACGTTTTAAATGCCGGAGGAGGTGTAGGTACAGTAGCTGGTAACCTAACTCACCCACCCAGGAATTTGGGTTGTCTGTCTGTGCTGAAGGAAGGATCCGACGCAAGGGTCCATGGACCTACACTACACTATTTCAAAAGGATCCCTTTCTGAGAAGACGTGGGCGGGGGCAAGGCAAGGACGGGCAAGGATTCCCCAATCCAGATAACAAATTCTAGAACGCCGCGGTAACAAAAGGTCCGGACCTGCGTCCGTCCGAGGTTTGAAGGCAGTGTACCTATAATGTAGTGTACGCAGTACACCAGGGATTTATGTCATTCTCCTCCCGCCGCCGAGTAGGTAACCACCACCCTACACTACACTACTTTCTCCATCGGTAAGATACACAGATGGATGGATAACTTGACCGAGCAGCGAGCGGCAAAGCAAGGCACAAAAGACCTTGTGTGTCTTTTTTGTGTGTGTGCAACATGACGGCGATGGCTTGAATGCTTGCTGATGGTGAACATGATCGATCATCATCACCTACCTCTGTTTGATTCTCACCTTACGGTAACTGCTGCCCCTGTGCCGTCCCCACATACATATATATAGTACATACACAACACATGCTCGTGGCGTTTTCACCGTGCCTCGTCCGGGTGATTTTATGGTTCTGGTTCAACCTTTGCCTCAAATGGATTCATTTCCAGGATTTTATACCAACCTAGAAATCATCAAGACAACAACCAAGCTATAGAGGAGGATGGTGTCGAGTGAAGATCTTCTACCACAACCAGTTTTTTCTTGGCGTCATGGCGATCAAGGATAATCAGATCGTGCAATTGCTACCCACACTGAAATCTATGGCACTGTAGTGTAGTGTAATCTTGATATCATTGCGGCGCCACTGCCAACTACCACAGCCTTAAGTTGTCTACCATGGTGATCACATTCGTGCGAACGAGTTTATCATTACGCACTATCTTGATTCTGCGGAATCTAGCTCCGTGTTGTCGTGCGCAATGAGGTTTCGCTCTCTCTTGTTATGCATACCGCGTAGTAAAGTGCACTGATGAAATAATGGGCTCAATGTCCTGGGGCTTGCGGCGCTTGTCATGTGTAGTGTAGTGTAGAGGTATCGACACAGCAAAGTACTTTGTGTCCGATTTACTACTCGGTACACAGTGTATGCCCCGTAGTGACTCACTCAAATGCAAGGTCGTGTCTGAATGGACCCTGAGTGCTGTGCTGTGCTGACTTGCATAGAAGCAGGAATGGTGCGCAATAAGCAGGGTACATTTGGGTTAACGCCGAAGGATGGATGGGCGAATTTATTTGTGAAGGCGGACCCAACCAATTACCGAAGACTGCAGTTATGCAAAATCAGCTCTCAGATTACTACTTCCGAGACGCAGGATTATGAAAACAGCAAGTGATCAAGACTTTGGTAAATCCGAGGTGTTAAACTTCGCTGCTGTATTTGTAGCTGCAGGTACGCAGCATCGTATCTCTACTGAATGCAAAAGTGACTAAACATCTCGCTTATGGAGACACGCAGAAAACAAATCTCGGCGTCCGGTAACTTGAAACCACCGACTTGTTGTGTGACTGTGGGTTTTCCCCCCAACCTGCGTGAGACCCTGGAAAAGGCGAAGACGGCGAGGTAAAAAGACCCCGTTCGGGCTTGCTGACATTGACCATCCTTCAAGGATAAGCAAGGTAAAGTAGCCATGCAATGCATTCAGAACAAAAAAAAGCCAACCAACACCCCCAAACCCAGGTTACCAACCGACCAATACCCGTCCAAAATCCAACACCTGTATAAGCCAAAAAGCCAACGAAGCCCAATCTCTCCCTGAAAATGCGAAGCCAAGCCACACAACCCACCAACGTGCACCATAAACTCCTTGCCGCCAATTGGAATGACTGGTAATGAAAGATAACTCTCTCTCTAGCTCTAGGAGAGAAAGAGAGAGAGAGAAGTGAACAAGGTTTGCTCTTGTGCTGCGGTGCTTGATGAAAAGTCATCACGGCGAGCTACCCCTCCATTTGCTTGTTGTTCCCTTTGTCTGTTGATACGCCTTTTGCAAATGCTGCCTTGCTCCGTATTGCCGAAACCCCTAAGCAAATTGTCCGATCCACCCAATGAACTGTTTTGAAACCCTTGAGTCGCTTGCGTAGCCATTTTTCGTGAACCCCGATTCCATGATGCCATGTACTGACTGTAGTAATGCACCGTAGTGCATGTCCGTGTGTGCGTGTATATGGAGTTGTCGAGTTGATTGTTCTGTACCGGGGCATTTATGCCGGAATAATACCGAATGCATCGATCGCTTACATTCGCAGGTCGGCGTCGTAGCCCGAGTACATCATCGGATCACCCATCCCCATCATGACCTCGGGGTTAGGACACGAAAGGACGTGGGGCTTGATGGTGCCAAAGTTGGACTCGTAAAGGCCCTGGTTCAGCATCTCCATGCTGAGATACGATAGATTATCCGGGGCTGAGAAGTCCATCGAAGTCGGACGGCTGAGCCATGTCGCCGGGAAAGTGGTAGGCGGCACGACGGGAGACTGGCTGGGGAATGAATCAGTAGGGGTAGCTGTGGCGATGTCGAAATCACCGTAGCTGAGGCTTGCGGGCGACATGGTAACGGCAGTGCCGTTGTTGAAGGTCTTGCGGTAGTCTTCAAAGTCCGAGTGGTCGATTTCTGATGAGCTGGCACGGTCGGTTCTACTTGAGTCGCGGTCCTGCTTGATGTTGCTGCTGCTGTTGTTCGCGGCGTTGGCCTTCTGCTGCTCCTCCAACTGTCTAGCGAGCTCGGCGAGACCTGCCTCGTCCTCAGGGAAGATGGAATGCACAGGAAGGTCCATATCGCTGTTGGGTCGGATGCAGCCAAGCTTGGAAGCAATGTTGTGAATGACGGGTTGGCCACGGTCGTTGAGCTCCGGCTCACCAAGGTCCCATTGTTGCCCGTTCCGTACCATGGCATAAAGCTTGTGGACTGTGGCGATGAGAGCAAACTGCGTGTTTTCCAACACCTCAGCGTACCTGTTTGAACATGTTAATCAATGTCTTGAGAAACACCGCTTGTTCTATCACATTCACATACCCTCTGGGCAATTGCTTGTACTCGGTCTTCTTCCTGGTCCCGGCGGTACATACTAGGCCGTCGTCCTTACACCTCTTGCAAGGGAATTCTCCATCACACTGGACGAGACATGTCAGCACAAAGCTGTTGCTCAATCCTCGAAATCTCCCGTATTTACCTTGGTCTTCTTCATTCTACACCTCTCACAGGCCTTCCACACTCTCTTATGCCTCCCATCGCCAACTGAATGGCTGTGGCTCTGGCTGTCTATTGATGGGGACTGAGGGTGTCCATGTGCGCTGGTGCGTTTTGAGCCGCCGCGGTGTACTGGCTTGACAACCTTGGAGTTGGAGTGTGTTCTCTTTGGAGCCTGCGTTTTGAGGTGCTCCTCGTTCGGTGGGGTGGGTAGGCCTTCCATTGTGGATGTGATCAACTGTTGTGAAGAGCAGGAAGATGGGTGAGGTGGTGGAGCTCCTTGTTGGTTAATTATTGGCCGAATAGATGGGTCGTCGAGAGGATGTCAGTGATTTTCTTGGCGTATGTTTAGGTAAGGTAGTGTTAGTCGTCCAACTTGGTGGAGGGGCAACTGCAAGACTTCCAGGCTGAGTTGTAAGTGATAGTAGCTCAGAGAACGAGGGGCTAGCGGTAGATATATAAATGAAAACGAGATTCCAGAAGAAACCAAGGACAAGGGCAAGGTACAATTGGTCTGCAAGTGCGTACTTGAAGAATGGGATGAGCATAAGCCCTGGTCGGGACTGACTCGAGGATTATTAATGGGACACGCTAGGATTATCGAACATCGAGTGGTCAAGACAGCGGCGATGGAGTCTCCGTAAAAGGGATCTAGCGAGGTGGTGCCTACCAGACCGGGGGCTTTGTCCCTACCACCGTGCACAAAACAGTGGGATACTTTCTCTCGGGCTCCAAGCCCTCACAGCGCGGCGCGGGTAGCATCCAAGGCAATTCAACGGTCGGCTCGTTCTTTCGTCCGAGCCTGCGGGTGGGTTTTCGTCCAGGTGTCCTCCAGTTACCCTCCAGTTACCTCTGCTACTCCCCTGACAAGGGAGTACATGCAGCAGGTTGAGGTAGAAATGGGCTTTGCATTTGCTGGCACCCTCATATCATAAAAATATGAAAGTTTGGCTTCCAGAAGGCTTGCACAAGGTGGGCGTTTGCGTCAATGAGCCCTTGCAGTATCGGGGTACATTAACTGAAGATACTATATTCTACCACCTTCAGGCTGTCAGGCGAGCGTCCTGGAGTAACAGTGTCTGGTCCGTTGTTGCTCGCTCTGGATGGAGTCAAGTTTCGATGCGGCGCTCGCTGGTCTTGGCCTGGCTTTGCGGAGGTTTAAACCAATAGTAATACTGGAATTTCTTGCCCTCTCCCTCGTCGAAAGATGTTGCAAAGTATTGCGCTAGTTAACTTTTAAACATTGATCTGTACACCAGGTAGAGGTAGGTATCGATTTACTTTGTACGTACCTGATAGAGGACCCTGTATCAAAGGGACAGTGTGTCGACTGTGTACCTGTAAGCCATCTGCTGGTGGATTCGGCGACCGCTGTACATACGTTGCTGACATTCCCGCCTTGTGGGTATATGCGGAGCACTTTTGGAGCGAACTGCTGCTCTGTACCCTACTTGGATGCGTAGTGTAATGTACCTCGATGTTTAGATGACGAGGGGATGAAATCTCACTCCCATTATGGAAACTGCTCGTAAAATCCCTTGTTCGACGACCCTGTTGGTTCTTATCTGTAGTGTAGTCGAAGATCTCGGTTTTGACCTGGCACTGGAGCTTTTGTGTGCTGCCAACTGGTCCATTGCCTAGAACCGCAACGGATCGATCATGAAGATTGCCGACCAGGGTCAATAGAAACTGATACCTGTTAGGGATGGGAAAGGAGACGGACCTATTGTGTATCGTTCTCGAATGGGACAGACTGATGGTCAGGAAGGGAAGGCATTTGCTTGCGCGGGGTTGGGTATGCTCAGCGTTTTACTTCGATCAACCCTGATCGTGATTTGACAGCCATCATTCAAAATTCTTCGAAGACCAGCCGGTACCCCAACTCTCCAACTCACCAACTCTCATCCGTGCCCACTTGCCGTCACCCGGCCATCTTCGGGTTCTTGTACTTGCGCTTTTGAAATTTTGTTGCCATACCACACGATGGACTTATCCCCAACAAGGAAGATTCCCTCCATTGATGCTGGGTCCTCTCGAAAACCTCCTTTTGCTGTTAAGGCTGCCCGCCGAACAATTGACTGCTTGGAAGCCATTTCTGCTGTCGCACATCGGGGTAGTGTCAATTGTCCAAGGTGCCTGCCCAGCCCCACTGCGGAGACAGGTGGAAGTTAGGAGATACTTCGCACTACAATCGGAGTTCACCATAATCGCCAACATCCGACTATGTACATGTCAAAGCTCATTCGTCAGCCAAGCTTGAATAGCGAGCGCTCACTGATGAAAACTTCAGTGAACAAGTTTTTCGATAGGGCCTAGCCCATCAGTATACGAATCATGGCTCAAGCATAGAGATACTGTTCGTGTTCATTACTCCCCAGTATTCATCGCCTTGCGATTCGATCCGAACACTCTTACAAGTCGATGGTGAAGCAGAGAACTCACCTTCAAACATCTTGTTCCTTTTCTTTTTCTTTCCCTTCGTTCTTGAACCCCTCTGAGCCCCGTCTTGCTGATCACCACAACCTCACTAGGCTGGAACGGGCAATGTCTCTCGCGCTTGCATAAGTGATCTCTGAAGAGGCTACGTAGGAAAGAGCTTGTCGAAAGCTGGATCGTACTGTACCTCAACAGAGTGGGCCACTGGCTAGGTGGATTGATGCAACGTTGTTGGACGAAGAACTGGGGTGCTAGGCAGGGGGCGATAAAATCATCGTCATCACGACTTTGTTCGTCTCGATGATTGTTGAACGCGCTGACAAGCAGGATTGGTACTTCAGAATTCCACGAGACTTCATGAGATCAATACCGGAAGAAGCGTCGTCTTGAAAGATTGGAATGTCTCATACATAGTCATGGAACCCGGTGACATGCTTGTGCTTGTCATGTATCGTCACTGATCAATGTCAACGACATCAACTGAAATGGTGAAGACATGAAACTTATTGCGGGTCGTATTGTCGTGCAACCGACGGTAAGCACGAGTGCAGGATTAATGCCCCAAACAAAGGTAAACAGAGTACTTGGCCGTAAAAAAAAAACCAAAAAAAAAACAAAAAAAAAAAAAAAAAAAAAAAAAAAAAAAAAAAACCGACGTTATCCACACGAACCCCTTAAAATCGAGATCATCGATGTCGATAAGCCCTGGTCGACAACAGGTGGGTGACCCCATTGACAGCTATGAGTGTATCTTGGGGTGATACCGTAGCTAGACTCGAGATAGATCTGGTGATTCGTCTAGGATAAGTGAATGCTGTTCCTAATTGGATCATTGACCGATCACCGCAAGCTTGTTGCTTTTTTCTGTCGAAGGCTTGAGCGATATAGCCGGTAACGCTGGTGTTGCAGAAACAACGGGGTGTTCGCTCGCTGTGTACATGATCGTTTTGTTCGCATGTTTTCATTTAAGAAGAACAAAAATTGTTGTGGACGTTTGGTGTACCCGAACAGACGTACAGGTGGTAGCTGAATTTGATGGTCCAGCGGACGATGTGCCTTATGCCGTACCCAAGGTTAACGTATTCGCCATTCGCAGCAGCTTCTTCTTTGGTCCTGAGTATGTAAGCGGTTATGGCGGCCAACTGTCAACACACCTCGGCCGGAATCGGCACCGAAACGTTCCAGAAGGCTTCTCGAAATTACTCAACTCGAAATGGCGTATACACTAATGAGGATGCTGCTTTGCAGCAGCCAGGAACGGCAAAGGCCGAATAAAGGACTGAGCCGCGCAAGAAACCGCTACTACAACGTACTGTAGACCGACACTGTTTACGCCCGCGCAAGTGTGGGGGGTTCTACCGGAATATAACGGATTGTGACAGCCATCTCCTAGCCAGTCTTGGGTGACAGACACCTCATGACCGCCTGAAATTTACAGGCGCAAGAGACCTGGCTGGT